AGAGAAACAAAAGCAAAAATGAACTATTGGGATTTCATCAAGATAAGAAGCTTTTGCACAGCAAAAGAAACAGTCAACAAAACTAAAAGACAACCTACAGAATGGGAGAAGATATTTGAAAATGATTTATCAGATAAAGGGCTAGTATCCATGATCTATAAAGAACTTATTCGGGCAGCCTGGGTGGCTCAGCGGTTTAGCGCTGCCTTCACTCCAGCGCATGATCCTGGAGACCCAGGATCGAATCCCACATTGGGGTCCCTGCATGGAGCCTGCTTTTCCCTCTGCCTGTATCTCTGTCCCTCTCTCTCTCTCTCTCTCTCTCTCTCTCTCTCTCTCTCTCTCTCCCTCCCTCCCTCCCTCCCTCCCTCCCTCTCAAGAATAAATAAAATTTTTTAAAAATTATTAAAAAAAAAAAGAACTTATGAAACTCAACAGCAAAGAAACAAACAATCCAATCATGAAATGGGCAAAAGACATGAACAGAAATCTCAAAGAGGAAGACATAGACATGGTCAACAAGCACATGAGAAAATGCTCTGCAAACTTGCCATCAGGGAAATACAAATCAAAACTGCAATGAGATACCACCTCACACCAGTGAGGGTGGGGAAAAATAACAAGTTGGAAACAACAAATGTTGGAGAGGATGTGGAGAAAGGGGAACTCTCTTGCACTGTTGTTGGCAATGTGAACTGGTGCAGCCACTCTGGAAAACTGTGTGGAGGTTCCTCAAAGAGTTAAAAATAATCTGCCCTACAACCCAGTAATTGCACTGCTGGGGATTTACACCAAAGATACAGATACAGTTAGACGCCGGAACACCTGCACCCTGATGTTTATAGCAGCAATGTCCACAATAGCCAAACTGTGGAAGGAGCCTCAGTGTCCATAGAAAGATGAATGGAAAGAAGATGTGGTTTATGTATACAATGGAATATTACTCAGCCATTAGAAACGACAAATACCCACCATTTTCTTTGACGTGGATGGAACTGGATGGTATTATGCTGAGTGAAATAAGTCAATCGGAGAAGGACAAACATTATATGCTCTCATTCATTTGGGGAATATAAAAAATAGTGAAAGGGAATAAAGGGGAAAGGAGAAAAAATGAGTGGGAAATTTCAGAAAGGGAGACAGAACATGAGAGACTCCTAACTCTGGGAAACGAACAAGGGGTGGTGGAAAGGGAGGTGGGCGGGTGGTGGGGGTGACTGGGTGACAGGCAATGAGGGGGGCACTTGACGGGATGAGCACTGGGTGTTATGCTATATGTTGGCAAATTGAACTCCAATAAAAAAAATTAGAAAAAAAAAGACAGTATAGTACTGGCACAAAAACAGACATATAGATTAATGGAACAGAATAGAAAACCCAGATATGGGCCCTCAAGTCCATGGTCAACTAATATTCGACAAAGAAGGAAAGACTATCCACTGGGAAAAGGACAGTGTTTTCAATAAATCGTGCTGGGGAAATTGGACAGCCACATGCAAAAGAGTGAAACTAGACCATTCTCTTACACCAGACACAAAAATAAACTCAAAATGGATGAAAGATCTAAATATGAGACAAGAATCCATCAAAATGCTAGAGTAGAACACAGGCAACACCCTTGCTGAACTTGGCCACAGCAACTTCTTGCAAGATACATCTATAAATGCAAGGGAAACAAAAGCAAAAATGAACTATTGGGACTTAAGAGAAAAAGCTTCTTCACACCAAAAGAAACAGTCAACAAAACTAAAAGACAAATTACAGAATGGGAGAAGATATTTGTAAATGACGTATCAGATAAAGGGCTAGTATCCAAGATCTATAAAAACTTATTAAACCCAACACCCAAGAAACAAACAATCCAATTATGAAATGGCAAAAGATATGAACAGAAATTTCACCAAAGAAGACATAGACATGGCCAACAAGCAGATGAGAAAATGCTCTGCATCACTGGCCATCAGGGAAATAGAAATCAAAACCACAATGAGATATCACCTCACATCAGTGAGAATGGTGAAAATTAACAAGACAGGACACAACAAATGTTGGAGAGGATGTGGAGAAAGGGAATCCTCTTGCACTGTTCGTGGGAATGTGAACTGGTACAGCCACTCTGAAAAATTGTGTGGATGTTCCTCAAAGAGTTTAAACTAGAGCTACTCTAAAACCCTGCAATTGCACGACCCCAAAGATACAGATGCAGTGAAAAGCTAAGACACCTGCACCTCAATGTTCATAGCAGCAATGTCCACAATAGCCAAACTGTGGAAGGAGCATGGGTGTCCATCGAAAGATGAATGGATAAAGAAGATGTGGTATATATATGCAATGGAATATTACTCAGCCATTAGAAACGATGAATACTATTTCCTTTGATGTGGATGGAACTGGAAGGTATTATGCTGAGTGAAGTAAGTCAATTGGAGAAGGACAATCATTGTATGGTTTCACTCATACAGGGAACATAAAAATAGTGAAAGGGATTATAGGGGAAAGGAGAGAAAATGAGTGGGAAAAATTAGATAGGGTGTCAAACCATGAGACTCCTAAATATGGGAAACAAACAAGGGGAGGTGGGCGGGGGCATGGGGTGACTGGTTGATGGGCACTGAGGGGGACACTTGACAGGATGAGCAATGGTTGTTATACTATATGTTGGCAAATCGAACTCCAATAAAATATATATACATTAAAAAAATAGGGGATCCCTGGGTGGCGCAGCGGTTTAGCGCCTGCCTTTGGCCCAGGGCGCGATCCTGGAGACCCGGGATCGAATCCCACATCGGGCTCCTGGTGCATGGAGCCTGCTTCTCCCTCTGCCTGTGTCTCTGCCTCTCTCTCTCTCACTGTGTGCCTATCATAAATAAATAAAATAAAATAAAATAAAATAAAATAAAAAAAATAGAAGCAACTGTAGCAAAGGTCAACGACTGTAAAGAAACTCATATAAATGCCATCTGCTAACTGGTGCTCCTGATCTTAGGGAATTTATATATAGCAATAATATTCTGTTCAGTCACAATTTAAGTGAATTGAAAAAATTTTTTTCTTAATGAAATGCTAAATTAAAGTATCTTATGCAATTTTATTCTCATTCTTCAATCCAGAGAATGGCAATCTTTACCGTAAAAGGCAACATAGTACACATTTTAGACTGTGCAGGGCATACCTGTCACAATATCAAATTCTGGTATTAAAGCATGAAATCAGCTAAAGACCATGTGTAAACAAATGAGTATGGCTGTGTTGCCAAAAACTTTACTTACAAAAACATGTGCTAGATCAGCAGACCATACTTTTTAACCCCTGCTCATAACAGGTGTTAACTCTGATCTCCTTTTAATCTGAGTAATTTTGAATGAATAGACTTCAATAAGCTACGTATACCAGCATTATCTAGAGAGCTTTTCCAAACACAAATGTTTAGACACTATGCCGTTTTATACCTCATGAATCAGAATTATAGGTTCATGTAAGTAATCAGAGATCTCTCACAATGTTTTCAGAATATTAAATTTTTCTGCTACTTGATTCCAATCAACATGTTTATCAAATCCCTATTTCAAGTTATATACCATAAGTAAGAAAGAATAACATGATTGCCATTTTCATGGTTAGATCATGCCCCATGTGGGGAAAAAGGCAGATATTAACAAGTAACAGATCATGATTTTACTTTTGTTTCTTGTAAAAGACCCACTATAGGCTGAGTATTCAAAGAAGAGATTACAGTGGCTCAAACATTCAAAGTCTCTTTCTTAGAAGAGATACACTTAACTTATACGGTAAACACAGTCAACATAGTATCAGTAAAAATAGCTTACTTATATACTAGATGTTCTGAGTGATTTTTACTTACTAACTCATTTAGTATCTAGTCAGGGAAAGAACCCAATAAAGAAAGGTATGGGTGACATGGAAAAAGAATACAGTATTCCTAAGTGACATCTAACATGAGTGGGTCAAATGATGTTTAGCATGAGTGTAAGCAACATAAAAATAAAATTGGAGCACCCAAATAAGGCCAGAATGCAGTAGTGAATAAAAGGCAAATTAATTTAAATTTCATGCAATAAATAATAGAGCGAATATAGATGGATCTTGTCAGGCTACTGAAAAAAACATATGTTCTTTGGACCCTGGGTGGCTCCGCGGTTGGGCACCTGCCTTGGCGTCAGGGCGTGGTCCCGGAGTTCCAGGATCAAGTCCCACATCGGGTGATCCCTGCATGGAGCCTACTTCTCTCTCTGCCTCTGTCTCTGCCTCTCTCTCTGTGTGTCTCATGAATACATAAATAAAATCTTAAAAAAAAAACAACAACAACCATATTCTAGGCAAACAAACATATACCACCATCAATAACAAAAAAAAACTCTTCACCAGCTACAATAAGAAATGGGAAAATATAAAAGTATGAGGGAATATAGTTCTTACTGATATTGATATAAAGCCAGAACATGAGAAATATCAGAAATTTACAAAGAAAAAAATACTCAAGAATGCAAGAGAAAAAATACTTCTTTACCAACAGAAGTAAAATTTCATAAAATTAAGAAACCTGTACTTTTGTTACATTATTCTGATAAATATAAATTTGTAATCCTATTGGTTTATTAACTATTTGTTTAAAGAGTATCAAGTACTACTATACAACACATAATTCTGAAAACACTGTTTCCTCCCTTCTCCTCAAGAACCAAATTTTAGTAGGTATTATTACCTTAGTTTTCTCTTTGCACTATTAAACACCATAAAGCCAGGATTACTTGCTTGTCTGCATAAATGATATCCTTAGACCCCTAGCTTTGAGCAATCAGAAAACCAGCTTACATTCCTTCTCAGGCACTACCCTTTTCTCTTCCAATTTTATCATATATACCTCCTCTCTACTTCTAGGTGCCACTAAGAAGAGATTCTTAGAAAACTTTTTAAATAATTTCCATATCCCACACTGGCCACCTAGGTTATACTTTCCCCTGGCTTCCTCACTAACTCACCGTGGTAGTTCTGGTACAGAAGTTCTTCCTCTACTATCCATGGTTCCTTTCCTTCTTCCAACTTGAAGATCACTGCTGGCTTTTTAATGAGATACCCTGTAAAGGGAAAAGACACAAAAATGGTCCCAAGCCACATAGGCAACAGCAGTTCTAACGGACAGCAGTTCTAACAGAGAGGAGGGAGAGGCTCCAGAGCCACCCCTTGAGGAGGATATGAGAATACACACATTTATCCTTGTGCTCAAAACACATCAACAACCCCAGATTCCTGAAGCTAAAGTCTCAATAGTATTAACTACCAAAGACCAAACATTGTGGTATCTAAGAAGTAAAAGGCATGCTCTATAAAAGATTTGACATGACAACTGCTTACCAATGGAGACAAAGTTGTGATAGTTCTCCAGCATCACATCCCTGTACAGGGTCCTCTGATCTGGGTCCAGGTGCTGCCACTCCTCCTGGGAGAAGTCCACAGTCACATCCCCAAATGACAGTGACCCCTAAAACAGCAAATTTCTGCTCAGTCTGATGTGGTCAGAAGCAGAGTGGCATAGGAAATACGGAAACTAATTCTTCCCAGGTTCACTGTTGAGAATTTATGTTACAATGTGCCTACAACCTGATTTTGTATTGGGTTTTGAAGAAGAAAGAAAAATAAAAGAACATCCTTCTTATTTTAATTTATTAATGCACTCTGCTTTGAAATGTCCTGGGTGTTGTGAATAGTAAGAAGAGTAAAACACTGTTCTTGTTCTCCAGGAAGTTAAATATTACACAAATACAAAACAGTCCAAAACTGAAAATAAGGTATTACTAGAACATATTAAAATATGTAAAAAGTAGGGATCCCTGGGTGGCGCAGCAGTTTGGCGCCTGCCTTTGGCCCAGGGCGTGATCCTGGAGACCCGGGATCGAATCCTACATCGGGCTCCTGGTGCATGGAGCCTGCTTCTCCCTCTGCCTGTGTCTCTGCCTCTCTGCCTCTCTCTCTCTCTCTGTGACTATTATAAATAAATAAATAAAAAAATTTAAAAAATATGTAAAAAGTAAAGAAAAAAATGTAAAAAGTTTACTAAAATTAGAAAAGAAAAGAAAGAAAAGAGAAAAGAAAAGAAAAGAAAAGAAAAAAACTATTTTGTATCACAACTTTTGCTTAAGGAAAAGTTAATGTTGTGGAGCGTGACGTGTGATGGATAAATGTTCTTTATATTTATGAGGGAACACAGCATAACCAAAATACTGAAGGCATTAAAAACACATGAGTTGACTTAGGTTCTGCCCCAAGATGTTAGAAGCAAGGAAGAAAATCATTCTCATTCCTACAATGAAAATGAGCCAAACTCACCTCAAATTTACAACTTTTTCCTAACTTACAGGAGAGGCAAGGTCACAAGCACCCAAGTGCCCCAAATCTAGGAAGAGACAATACCTGCAGGAATTCCCCAGAATAGGGGGAATGTTAATTAATGAAAACAGAGTGTGAGCTGACATAACAGTGTGAAACACCTTCAGACCACAGACATGGAGGAGACTTGCACCTTCTTACGGGCATTTTCTTTTCTTCTTCTTTTTTTTAAAGATTCACTTATTTATTTTGGAGAGAAGAAGAGAGGCAGAGGGAGAGTGAGTCTCAAGCAGATTCTGAACTGAGCACAGAGCTCCATGCAGGGCTCAGTCTCATAACCATGAGATTATGACCTGAGCTAAAACCAAGAGTAGGACATTTAACTGAATGCACCAGCTAGGCATCCTTTTACAGGCTTTTTCTCTGCAAACCGCACTGGGCACTTATGCTATTCCTGGGGGAAGGGTAGGATGATGCACTGAGTCTCCAACTATAGCTGGGCAGGGAGGTGGGGAGAACCAAGTCCTTGGTCCTTGTGGAAAACCAAGAAGGCCACATCCCCCACAACCCAAGTACACAGGGCAGACCTAACACTGAGGCTGTAATGGAGTAAGAGAACACATTCTGCCTATGACTTCTCACCACCAAGCTAAGAAGCTAGGAATAACAAGTACCAATAAAATATTGCTGACAAAAAGGCAGGAGAAAAATAAAAGCATGCAAAGAGACCCTCTTTGAGACACAGAGCAAAGAGAACCCTTAAAACTCAGAAATGAACAAACTTAACTCTGGTAAATGAACCTGTATTCTAAAACACAAGGTATCACTATAAAATTTGAAGCCTATGCAGTATTAAGAGTAGTAACAGAAACAGTAACTCTCAAATCTTGCCTAACTCCTAACTTGTTAAATTCGAACCCCTAGACTAAAGGCCTACCAGGAAAGTCATGCCCATTTCCAGCAATTAAATCTAGTTACCACAGTTTAAAGTCTGACACAAGACAAACACTTCAACAGAAAGTTTACAAAGCATATGAAAAGGAAAGAAACTAACAAGTTACTACCAAGATACTAAGTAATCATCAGATAAAAAAATCAGATAGGACACAGAAATGGAAACTAACAGAATTTTAATCAGTTACAACTAATATGCTAAAGATTCTAAGGTATGTTAAGACTGAAAAGGTATACAAAATGCAAAATCAAGTGGGTAATTTCAGCAGAGAGAACCAAATGGAAATCTAGGAATAAGAACACAGTAATAGATGAGAAACCTCTTCAACGGAATGATCAGCAGTCAACAGCAGTAAACACAGTTAAGGAAACAATCAATGAACTTGAAGATGGGTCAAAAGAAATTACCCAAACTGAAACTCAAAGATAAAAATTGAAAAACAAAACAGAACATTAAAGAGCTGTGAAAAAACAATCAAAAGTTCTGGCACATGCATAATTGGAACCCGGGGGGGGGGGGGGAATGGGACAAAAGAAACACTTTAAGAAACAGTGTCTTAAAATTTCTCACTGGGGCGCCTGGGTGGTTCAGTCACCTAAGCATTTGACTCTTGATTTCAGCTCAGATTGTGATCTCAGGGTGTGAGATCAAGCCACACGTCAGTTTGCTTGAGATATTCATTCTTCTCCCTCAGTCCATCCCCCACCAAAGACAAAAAGATAAAACTCAAAAAAAGAAAAAATTCTTGCAGTTAATGATAGAAAACAAAAAATCCAAGAAGCTCAACAATACGAAGTAGCATAAATGTTTCCCAAAAGCATAAAGACACACAGCATATTAAAATTATTAGAGAGAGAAAGATAGAGAATGAGAATTCTGAATGCAGCCAGTGAACAAGGAAATATTACAAAAAGGAATAAAGATACAATTAAAGCAGACTTTTCATAAGCAACCCATACACACTAGAACACAATAAAGTAACATACCAAAACGTTAAAATAATTGTCGGTTATAATCACAGCACAAAAGGAGCAGTTTGAAAAGCACCTGGGTATATTTCAAGATTTACTGACTATTTTTGGGATGTGTGCAAGAAGTACTGGGATCTATAAAAGCCTTCCCTTAAAACAAAGGAGATGGAAGAAGGCAATATTTTTCTTGCCCTCTCAAAGCCTAGCCGGATACTTATAGGAACCAATGTGAATGCTCTCCATCTACCTTTCAAGCACAATGTGCCTCACCCTAGTGCTCCCCTGAAGACCTGCCCTATTTTTTAAAGAGATTTTATTTATTTATTCATGAGACACACACACAGAGAGAGAGAGAGAGAGAGAGAGAGAGAGAGAGGTAGAGACACAGGCAGAGGGAGAAGCAGGCTCCATGCAGGGAGCCCAACATGGGACTGGATCCTGGGTCTCCAGGATCAGGCGCCCTGGGCTGAAGGTGGCGCTAAGCTGCTGAGCCCCAGGCTTCCCCTAGACCTGCCCCCATTTAACCCACCCTAGAAGGTGCTTCTCCAAAGCAGCTCCTACCCCACCATAGCTTGTGGGCAGCTCCAGCAAGAAAAGTGCCTCTTTAAAGTGACTGAGGAGGGGGAGCTAACCCTAAACACCAATGTGCCTAGAACTCATGCAGCCAAGACTCTCATTTGGCCATACAGGAAGCAAGTGCCACCCATTAGTGCACCCAAGCTGTCCCAGTAGCTAAGTACAGACAACCGGGTGGAGAGCAAGATCTGCACCCAGTGTGCATGCAGCAGACAAAATGGGTCTTTTTTTTTTTTTTTTTTTTTTTACAAAATGGGTCATTACAGGTACCTGGGCTGCGAGTAAGATACATCTACCAGCATACCCACAGCAATCATGGCTCAGCAACAATACAACATCCTGAAGTATCTAGTTCTAGTGACCAAGGGGACTACACTACAGAGAAGAGGACCCCTTCTACACAAGCCAAGTACTTCCAAGACCAGGATACATAGCTGACTTACATAATACACAGAAACAAACAGAGAGGTAGACAAAATGAGGAGACAGAGGAATATGTTCAGAACAAGACAAAACCACAGAAAAAGTTAATCAAAATAAACATAAGCAATATGTCAGATAGAGTGCAAAGTAATGGCCATAAAAATATTGGGAGAAGAGTGGATGAAGTGACTGAAAACTTCAACAGACAGATAAAATACAGAGAAGAACCAAGTGGAGCTGAAGAACATAAAATGAAAAATACACTAGAATACTCCAACAGATTACAGGATGCAGAAGAATGGATCAGTAATCTTGAAGACAGTAATGGTAAACAATCAAGCTAAACAGCAAAAAGGAAAAACTACATTAAAAAATGTGGATAGGGGATCCCTGGGTGGCTCAGTGGTTTCCCACCTGCCCTCAGCCCAGGGCGTGATCCTGGAGTCCTGGATCAAGCCCCACATCGGGCTCCCTATGTGGAGCCTGCTTCTCCCTCTGCCTGTGTCTGTACCTCTCTCTCTCTGTGTCTCTCATGAATAAATAAATAAAATCTTAAAAAAAAAAAAGACGAGGATAGGTTAAAAGACCTCTGTGACATCATCAAGCTAAGTGTCATTTGGATTATAGGGGTACTAAAAGAAAAAAGACATAAGGAAACAGAAGAATTAACCATTGAAAAAAACCCTAATCTGGAGAAGTAAAGATATGTAGGTCCATGATGCAAAGAGGACCTCAAACAAGATGAACTCAAGGAGGCTCACACCAACACACATAATAAAAACAAACAAGAATAAAGATAAAGAGAGATCTTAAAAGCAGCAAGAGAAAAGAGGTTATACAAAAGGGAAACTCCATAAGGCCATCAGCTGATTTTTCAGCAGAAACTTCACAGGCCACAAAAGAGTGGTGTGATATGGTCAAAGTGCTGTAAGGAAACCTACGGCAAAGAATATTCTACCCATAAAGGCTATCACTCAGGACTGAAAGAGATAATGTCCCAAAGTTAAAGGAGTTCATCAAACAAGCTTTAAAAGAAATGTTAAAGGGACTCTTTTAAGTGGAAAGAAAAGGCCACAACTAGATGAAAATTAAGAAAGAAAAAAATTTCAATGGTAATAGCAAACACATAGTAAAGGTAAAAGATTATTACAAAGCTAGTATGGAAATCAAAATGCAAAAATAGTAAAATCAATTATATCTACAAAAATTACACAAAGGGGGGCACCTGGGTGGCTCAGTGGCTGAGTGTCTTTGGCTCAGGTCATGATCCTGGGGTCCTGGGATCGAGTCCACAGGGAACCTGCTTCTCCTTTTGCCTATGTCTGCCTCTCTCATGAATAAATAAATAAAATCTTTTAAAAAAGCATTCAAGTGATACACAAAAATATATAAAATGTGACATCATATACATAAAATATGGAAAAGGGAGTAAAAATTAAGTGATTTTATAATGTGTTCATACCATACACATAGGATACTGTATATGAATCCCATGGCAACCACAAACTGAAAACCTGTAAACACATGCACAAAAAATAAAGAGAAAGGAATCCAAGCATAACACTAAAGAGAACCATCACACCACAAGAGAAGAGAGCAGAAGAATGGAACAGAAAACAACTAGAAAACAAGGAGAAGACAAAAAAATTGCAATAAATACATACCTAATAATAATTACTTTAAATGTAATGATTGAATGTTCCAATCAAGACATAGGGTGATGTAATGAATAAAAAAATAAGATCTCAAAAAAAAAAAAAGATCCATCTATATGTTGTCTACAAAAGACTCACTTTATACCTAAAGACACAGACTGAAAGTGAAGGAATGGAAAAAAATATTCCAAGCAGATGAATTAATTTTTTAAAAACCCGAAAGGTATAAAAATCAAACAAAATAGACTTTAAAACAAAGACGGTAATAAAAACCAAAAAAGGTCATTACACAATAACAAAGGGGTCAGGATCAATCCAACAAGAGCATATAACAAATGAAAATCTATTTCACCCAACATAAACAGGATACAAATTCGTAAGATGAGTACTAACATAGGAAAAGAGAAATTGACACTAATACCATAATTGTTAAGAGATTTTAACAACTTGCTTACCTCAGTGCATGGATCATCCAAACATAAAAATCAATACAGAAACTGTGGCTTTGGGCAGCCCCAGTGGCTCAGTGGTTTAGTGCTGCCTTCAGCCCAGGGCCAGATTCCGGAGACCCGGGATCGAGTCCCACATCAGGCTCTCTGCATGAAGCCTGCTTCTCCCTCTGCCTATGTCTCTCCCTCTCTCTCTCTGTCTCTCATGAATAAATAAATAAAATATTAAAAAAAAAGAAACAGTGGCTTTGAATGACACATTAGATCAGATGGACATAACAGAAATGTATAGAACTATTCTACCCACAAACTGCAGAACACATGTTCTTTTCAGATGCATACGGAACATTTTTCAGGAGAGATCACATGCTAGGCCGCAAAGCAAGTGTCAATGAACTAAAGATAACTGAAATCATATCAAATATCTCTTCCAACTATAATAGTACAAAACTAGAAATCAATTGCAAGAAAAAAACTAAAAGAAATACAAACATGTAGAATCTAAATCTAAATCTAAATAACATGTTACTAAACAACCAATGGGTCAATGAAGAAATCAAAGAGAAAATCAAGAAATATCTGGAGAAAAATGAAAATGAAAACATCAATCCTAAATCTTAAAGATGTAACAAAAGCAGTACTAAAGGAAATTTATAAGTGATCAAGACCTACCTCAACAAACAAAAAATAACTCAAATAAATGATCTAAACTTACACTTAAAGAAACTAGAAAAAGAAGACAAAAGAAAACTTAAGGTTAGCACAAAGAAGGAATTAATAGAGAGGTGCCTGGGTGGTTCAGTCAGTTATGTAACTGAGACTTGACTGCAGCTCAGGTCATGATTTCAGAGCTGTGAAATCAAGCCCTGTGTTGTGTTCTGTGCTCAGCAGGGAGTCTACCTGAGATTCTCTCCCTCTCCCTCCATACCTCGCCCCACCCTCAGACTCTCTCTCTCTAAAATAAATAAATAAATCTTTAAAAAAGAGGGAAGAGGGATCCCTGGGTGGCTCAGCGGTTTAGCCCCTGCCTTCAGCCCCGGGCATGATCCTGGAATCCTGGGATCGAGTCCCACGTCGGGCTCCCTGCGTGGACCCTGCTTCTCTCTCTGCCTGTGTCTCTGCCTCTCTATTTCTTACTCTATGAATAAATAAATAAAATCTTAAAAAAAAAAAGAAATGTAAAAAAATAAAATAAATAAAGACGGAAGAGAAGGAAGTAATAGAAATTAGAGCAGAAATAAATGAAATAGAGATAACAAAAAAAAAAAAAGAAAAAAGAAAAGATCAATGAGTCTAAGAGCTGGTCCTCTGAAAAGATAAACAAAATTTATAAAACCTTAGCCAGACTAATCAAGAAAAAAACAAGAGGACTCAAAACATAAACTTGGAAATGAAAGATAATTAGTTAAAACTGACACCATAGAAGTACACAAGATTATGAAGAGATTCCTATAAAAAAATTGTATAAAAAAACCTAGAAAAAAAGAAACAATCTAGAAAAAAATGGATAAATGCCTAGAACATAAAATCTTCTGAGACTGAATCATGAAGAAATAGACAAAGCTGGGGAAAAAACACATTACTAGAAATAACATTGAACTGGTAATCAAAAAACTCCCAACAGGGGTACCTGGGTGGCTCAGCCAGTTAAGTGTCTGCCTTTGGCTCAGGTCATGATCTGAGGGTCCTGGGATTGAGCCCTGCATCAGGTTCCTTGCTCAGAGGGGAGCCTGCTTCTCCCTCTCTCTTGTGTTTATCTATTTCTACACTTACTATTTAAAGATTATACCTTATTCATAAGATCTAATGTAAAACAAATTAGGAATTAAAAAAACTCACCTGGGATTTGTTCATTTTCTGTTCTTCTGAAAAAAGCATGGAGACATGTGAAGATACAACTGAGAAATAGTAAGAGAGAGAGAGGAGTCATAAATGATCTTGCCTCCCCCACAGTTCTTGGATTCACCTGCCTACAAATACCCTGCATACCAGTGGGTAAAATGCTTTCCTATGGGACAATGTCCTTTTGTTTCCTAAAAAGAGATGGAATAGCCACATAGAGGTAGTGCCAATAGACTCATATACTTAATAACAGCCTCTCAAAAAAACAGACAAAATAAACAGAAACAGAAACAGAAACAAAAACACGACTTGTAGTTGCCAATTTCAGACGCATAAATACTTTTGCCGGGGCCAACTTCAGACTACCAACATGATGTCACTGAACAGAGATGGGAAGAAATGTGAAATAGCATACCATTATGCAGGATTTATAAAGATTTTATTTATTCATGAGAGACGCAAAAAAGAGAGAGAGAGAGAGAGAGAGAGAGGCAGAGACATAGGCAGAGGCTCAGAGAAGCAGGCTCCCTGCAGGGAGCTCGATGTGAGATTTGATTCCAGAATCCTGAGATCACACCCTGAGCCAAAGGCAGACGCTTAACCGCTGAGCCACCCAGGCGTCCCCCATTATGTAGGATTTTTACCATACTGATAAATAGTCTCAAGAAGACAGATATGAGTGAAAGGAAGGAAATTACTTAGGAAGTCATGAGTTTTGAATATGATCACAACCATAAGGAGTTTAAGCAGACAACTATAAAATGCAGTGCAGTATCCTACTAGAAAGGAACCCAGAACAGAAAAAAGAACATTATAGAAAAACTGAGAAAATATGAAAATGTATACACGTTATTGGTTTGCTAATTGGGACAAACATACTATACTAATGTAAGATGTTAGGAACAGAAGAAATTACTGTAGGGTCTACAGAATTGTTGCTGGGTGAACTGGGGAGATCCTGGGTCCTGAGATCTCAACCCAGCCCGTCCCAAAGATATCCTCAAAGAAAGAATTCAAGGACAGACACAACACAGGGGAGAACACAGCGGGGAACTTTATTATTAAAGTCAAAATACTCACTTGAGTGGGCATGCTCAAGAGCTGTAGTTGCTGGTGTTTGGGTTTCTCTCCTTTATGGACAGTTAAGTAAGGGGTGGAATATTCATTACTTGAGGTGGAGATTTCCTGCAAGCAAAGGTTTTTTCTATCCTTGCTTGGTCAGGAATTTCCCGTCTGGGCACCCACCTTCATGGGTCTATCTGGTTGGATCCAGCTTTCTTGCAGCTTTGTTTGGAGGGCTGCCAGCTCAAGCCTCTGCGTTTCCCCAATAGAGGGCCATGACTTCCTTGTCCTCAGCCTCCTGGCCTCCTGTTAGAACACAGCTAATTGCCTCTAACAGAATTTCTGCATTATATTGACCATAACTGTGTAAATCTAGAAACTGTTCTAAAATAATTTACTTAATAATTGATCAAAGAAAAATGTAAAGAATATTCATGTAATACAAAAGACAGCAGTAAAGGAAAAGTGAAAGAACAAAAGACATGAGACAAGAAAATACAGCAAACTGGGGTGCATAAATCTAGCCAAGCCAACAATATTAAATGTGAAGGGGTTAAACAGAGCAGTAAGGTGTCTGATGTGGTGCTGTCTCCAGCTAGATCCGAAGTCTGACCTTTCCAGCCTACCAGTCTGTACCCACCTCTGTCTCACGTTTTTCCTGAAGCTCTTCTTTCCAGCTCATCTCTTAACTCAGACAAATGGGCACTGAAACCAGCCCTCAGGGAACTGCCCTGACAAAATCTTCAGCCGGCCCAGAACACAATGTATGTGTAAGCACGTTTCCTTAAGACATATGACCGACCTCATGCCTGCCTCTACACACGATGACAAGGCTTCCCGACCTGAATATTCATCCTAACCCTAAACAAAGGAACCCATCCACCCTTGCTCGGGGAGTCATTCCCGTGATCTCCTTTTTTACTTTGTGCAAGGAGCAACTTCATGTTAGTTTGGTAACAAGTCTAGCAACACAGATGGGACTGCTGTCCCTCTGAGGTTCTGCCCTCCAGTTACCTGGTTTCCGAAGAACAGAGCAGTGAGCAGCAGCAGCCCTTCTGGGCTAACCTGTTCAATCAATAGGGACAGGGGGTAGAGTCCCAGGAGGGGGGCTGCCCTTTCCTGGGGTCTGTGCTGCTTGATTGGTGTTGCTGGCCCCTTGAAGATACTGTGGCCACTCCAACCCTCTTGTTGAGAATCTCTCCACAGAGGTTAAGTGGTACCAATCCTATGGCACAACTATAAGAGTATTTTCTTTGAGTGGTCTCACAAGCCTGGCAAGCTGCAAAGAATGCAGCCTCTCCAGTAAACACTCCTGGGGACTGAACACTCATTATAGTCGAGTCTAGACTTCCTTGGGTGGCAAAAGATAACATAACCCGGCCATTCAGAGGCTGAATGCTTCAGCCTGGAAGATGGGAAGTGGTCTAAATGAGACTAGTCTAGAATCAGCAGGGGTGAAGGGTATCTCCATCTTACCTGTTTCACCTGTTCAGTATTTGCTGGGGACATCTGATACTGTTCTATGTTTGTTTTTCCTCTCAAAAGGGGAAGTATGCCTGGAGTTGCTGAATCAAACCAGGTTCTCCCTGAGCCATTCCCCGAGTGAATCCTCTGGGACTACCCAGACATTGAGGGGCTAGAAGAGGCAGCCTATGCACCAGGCCACTGCTCCTCAAGGCACAACCACCCAGACCCAATCGGACACTTACCATTAACCTGCTCTCCTTGAGGGTTTGGTTTTAAGTCAATCGAGTCTCATACACATTGTGGGTGAGGTTGTGTGGCATTTGTGTCACCACTAAACACTGTAAATGGCCTTAAGGGAGGGTAAAAGGAGACCCTAAGAAAGAATCCTGGACTATGAGAGGGACAGTTTTACCATGAAGGAGAGCCTCTGTTGGGCTGTAGCCTCCAAAAATAGAAGCATTTGGCTACCCTCCCTTAACCCCAAAACAGATGACTTTCTTTTTTAACAGTCTGGACATGATAATATATTCTAGAGGATGAACAGAAGTGTCCAGAAAATGGGACCTTAAATTTTAATACAATACTCAACTGAGCTCATTTTTGTAAAAGAGAAATAAAATAGGAAGAGATTCCATACGACCAGTGTTTTATGGCATTACATCAAAATGAGGAGTTGCAAAGAAAGTGTTAAGATTTATAAAATGAAGGTTGAACCAAAAACCCAAAAACTGCATTCTGTATTCTCTGATGAATCAAGGAATCTTTGATCCATCTCCGTCTCCTCCTGCAAGTCATGAGATCATAATCAGCCTCCACCTTATTCTTCTGGTACTCGGGCCTCAGCAACCCCAGCTTCATGAACATCAGCCTCTAATACTTTACAAACACCCTCAAAGCCTTTCCCCATGTATCCGGTATCCCTTTAGTCTCCTTTGTCTGACAGCACTACCGGATTAGGGACCTATCTTAAGCCAGGGATGGGAATGTTGCTGTTGAGATGGGTACCAGATGGGAGACGGGTGTCTCATTAATATCCACATCCCATTTTTTTACCTCAGACCTGTATAACTGGAAGGCACACACTAAAGGGCTATGGGTTAACCTGATTGATTTATACATTTAATGTAGTGTATCTTTTCTAATCACAACCCAACCTGGGCAGATATGCAAGTTTTGCTAATCAATCTCTAGGGCAGAAGAGAAGTTTGCCATTTAAGCACAAGCCAGACAGGAAGCTGGTAAAGAATATAAGCCAGGGGGAGCCTGGGTGGCTCAGTCAGTGAAGCATCTACCTTCAGCTCAGGTCATGATCCCAGGGTCCTGGGATTGAGCCCATCAGGCTCCTTGCTCAGGGGGAGTCTGCTTCTCCCTCTCAATCTGCCCCCCACTCATGCTTGCTCTGTCTCTAGTGCATGCTCTCTCTCAAATAAATAAAATACTTTAAAAAAAAAAAAGATTATAAGCCCAGATCAAGTTCTCAAAGACCAAATAAGGAGACAGTGCTATGAGATGACCCTGAGTGGGATTCCCAACTCCCACAAAAAGAGAGAAAGTTTAGGGCATTACTGAAGGCTTCTTTTAAAAGCTATGAAGGAAAGGAGTAGATGACCTGGTCCAAATTAGGGGAGATTCAACAAGGGACAGATGAAAATCCATCAGCCTTTTTGGGAAGGTTACAAAATTGCCTAAAATGAAATATAAACTGGGACCCTGAGGTTCAGAGTAGTTGGATGGTCCTTTATAACCTATTTCATGTCTCAAACTGCTCCAGAAATCCAAAGGAAACTCCAGAATTGGCCATGAGTCCCAATACTAACTCTGCTCAGCTTCCAGAATGAGCTTTCAAGGTGTTCAATAACTGGATGTGATGCAGGATGCTAGTGAAGACCAGAAAATGAGAAGGCAAGCTGCTCTTTGGGTGGTAGCTCTCCAACCTACATGAAATAACCTGGGAGAGGAAAAGTAGACACCCACGGCGGGTGAGTGCCCCAAACCCCACTGTGGAGCCAAGAGACCACTAGCAAAGAGGGGGTCCGATCAGTGCAAACAGTGTAAGCAGTAAGGACACTGGAAACAGGGCTGCCCAAACTGCTCCGGAAAGGAGGAAAGGAGGAAAGGAGGGCAAAGCGGAATCATATCAGTTGTCCCTCACTGAAGATGAGACAGGCTCACCATCTGGTCTTGGAAAAAAGTAGATCCTCACCTCCCACAAGGAACCCTGAGTAACCTTAGCAATCGAAGAAAGCCGGTTGAATTTTTACTTGATACTGGAGCAACTTTCTCTGAACACCCAGAAGATGTGGCTCTCTAATGAAAATCGTAATACAAAAGGATTCTCGGGGAAAGGAAACAGCAAAAGGTTTCTGGACCCTTTGACCCTTCTAGGGTCAAGTTGGTTAAAACACTCTTTTTGATATATGCCAGAATGTTCCTTTCTTTTATGATGAGATACTTTAGACAAATTGGAAGCCACAGTAAGTTCACAACAGGACAAATTAGAAATTCAAGTCCTTAATAGTTCGATTCAAGGAACTGAACTCATGTCATTAATACAACATATGCTAGTATCTAAAAGAGAAAATCCCCCCAAAAAACCTTATGCCAAGTCAACCTCCTAAGACTGCATGTGAGGGAAGGTGGGGGCATGCCATCAACAACATATCTGTAAGTAAAATTGAAATAGACTGCTGGCCCCAGATGCTATACAAGGGATCCACCTGTAATTAACGGGCTCTTAAAACAGGGGTTGACTAGGCCCCTGACATGTAGATCCCCATGTAACACCCCAATTTTACCTATTAAAAAGCTGAGAAGTGAGGAATACAGATTAGTTCAAGACCTCAGAGCTGTGACTGAAGCTGCCTGAGATATCCATTCCCAATCCCTATACTCTACTGACCAACTTACTAAGTAACAGTAAATATCACACTGTGTTAGATCTAAGGGATGCCTTTTCCTATATCCCACTAGATCCTGAATTCCAATAACTACCTGCTTCTGAGTGGGAAGATCGTGCCTCCAACCAAACACAATAGTACTGCTGGACTGTTTTACCTCAGGGTTTCAAAAACTGCCCCACCATTTTTGGGCAAATTCTGGGACAAGATTTAAGAGAATTAAATTCAGAAAAGTAGCACTATATTACAATATGTAGGTGGTATTTTGACAACTAGTCCCATCCAGGAGGTTTCTGGCCAAAATACTTTATCCATGTTCAATTTCCTGGCAGACAGGGTTTATAAAGTCTCAAAGAAAAAGCCCACTTTCTAAGGATACCATAAAATAAATACTTGGGGTTTATTATGTTTTTTCCAAAGATTTTATCTATTTATTTTACTTTAGAGAAAGAGAAAACACACAAGCGACTGGGGGGGGGGGTTGGAATCTCAAGCTGTCTCCTTGATGAGTGTGGAGTCTCAATCCCACAACCCTGAGGTCATGACCTGAGCCAAAATCAAGAGTCCACTGCTTAACTGACTGGGCCTCCCAGATGCCCCAGGATTGATTATTTCAAGAGGACAGTGAAGCCTCCCTCAAGAGAGAAACATGGTGCTATGTCAGCTAGCTCCACTGAAGACCCATACTCAGTCTTCTCATTGGGTAAAAAGAGCCTCAGGACTGATTCTGGCTAGTGTTAAGTTGGCTGTCCGAGTAGCTGCCTCTTAGTGAGGTTTCATATGTTAAAAAGCCACTGCAAAGAAACAGATGTCATAGAAACCTTAGCTAAAAATACAGGAAATGTCCTCAGAAACTTTGGAATTTCCCTAAACTCTTTAGCCAAAATAGTACTAGACAACAACTAGCCCCAGACTACTTATTAGCAGGGGAAGGAGGAGTATGTACAGTAACAAACATGCTGTACCTGGATTAATACTCAAGTTAAGTGGAAATAGACATTAAAAAAAAAAATCTTCAACCAGGCAGCCTGGCTACACACTTTCAACCAAAAAGGAAGATCCTCTGCAGGCTATTTGACAGCATTACCCAATATTCCACGGTTTCTCCCTTTCCTGAGGCCACTAATAATCCTACTGCTCTTAGACTACTGTTTAGACCTTGCATCATTAACTGGTACAATTTGTATACAAATGTGTGGACACCAAAAACTACAGATGGTAGTAACACAATGACAGGAGCAGCTTGGGAGTAAACCTGGTGACCCATAGGCATATCTAAAACTAGCTGAAGGAAATTCTGCTCTAGTAACAATCTAGATGACCACAACCATGTCTGGCAGGAAGTAACTACAGAGATTGACCTTCGCCCTGTGTCCCCCAAGAATGGGCAGCAGAATAAAACTAGAGGAGGGATTTGTTGCCTGCTAGACCCCAAGACCTGACCTTTACTACCCACCTGCTTGAACTCACTGACCTCTGTCCCTCATTTTTCTTTAATGTCTTCTTTCCATCTTCTCTCTTAACTCGGGCAAATGGAAAACGAAATCACACCTCAAGCAACAGCAACTGCTGAGAACAAGGCCCAGACACCCAGAGCAGTTTGAGCCTAACTCCTGAATCTCACCTGCGCAGGTGTAACCATGGACAGACCTCCAGAATGACTGACAACCACTTTCACCTCAAATCTCCATTCAAAGAGCACAAGCACCATTGACATAGCATTGAATGTACATATGTGCTGGCATGTCTCCTTAAGAAACCAGCTTATGGGGCGTCTGGGTGGCTCAGCGGTTGACCATCTGCCTTCAGCTCAGGTCATAATCCCCGGGGCCTGAGATCGAGTGCCGCATTGGGCTCCTCGCAGGGAGCCTGCTTCTCCTTCTATGTCTCTGCCTCTCTCATGAATAAATAAATAAAACCTTTAAAAAATTATGCCTTCTCTACTACAATGACAAGGATCCCCTTTCTAAATATTCATCCCCTCTCTAAATAAAACGAACCTGTCCACCACCTCAGGGAGTCATGGCTTTGTAAGTTATTGCTCATGATCTCCTTATTTGCTGCAATTTCTCCTTTGTACGAGGACTGCATCTGGTGCGTCTGTATGTGTGACTCACCACGGTGCTAACTCAGTTTAGTTTGGTTACAGCGGCACCTATCAGGAAAATAAAGAATCTAGGCCATTGTAGGCCCTGCAGTTCTAGGATCCACCCCTTTCGGGGGGGGGGGGGTGCTGTCTCCATTCTGAAGCTCTGCAGAGAGATCATATGTCACAAGAGTTCTCTTCAAGATGAGATTTCTGTTTCTGAAAATGCAGCTTTTAACCTCACAGGAGCCCATCGGTACCTTGGAAATCAGTATATAATGAGGGGCGCCTGGGTGACTCAGTCGGTGAAGCGTGTGACTTCAGCTCAGATCATGATCTCAGGGTCCTGGGACAGAGCCCCTGGTTGGGCTCCCTGCTCAGCGGGGAGTCTGCTTCTCCCTCTGCCCCTCCCTCCCGCTCCTACTCTAATCAATACATAAAGTCTTTAAAAAAAAATTAGAGGACAATTTCATATCTGGAATCTTCACCCAGTTCCCCAAATCTGCACCTCTTGAAACTTTCTATCCCCTAGAAACTAGAGCCATTGAGGACAAGGACAAGGGAGCCCCCATCCAGAGCTCCTGTTAGAGCTGAGAGCCAAGAAGCCTGCGAAGCCAAGGGCCACCCTCACGCATGCGCACGCTCCCCGTCCCGACCCTCACGCATGCGCACGCGCCGTCACGGGCGCAGGGGCAGGACCCCTCGCTCCGAGCTGGGAGGCCCCGGGAACCCAAGGCGCGGGCCCGCCCCCAGAAGTCCCCGCCCGCGGTCGGGTGTCGGCTGCGGAGTCCCGGGCCTCTTCCCCACCGAGCGTCGCCGACGCTTCCCACCGGGCCCACGCTCTAACCTCTGCTCTTAGGAAGATGGGCAACCAGGACCTTGAGAATTACTGGGAAATCTGGAAACGGGATTTCGGGCTTCACTAAACCTGTTGGCGCAGGAGGGGGACCGGGAAGATGGCGAAGCTGCGCGTGCTCAGCACTGTCCTCGACCTGCGCGCAAGTTCTGCTGGGTAAGCAAGCTCGACTCGGGACTACGTCTCCCGTGACCCTTCGCGCGCGCCTTATTGACTCTGTAAATAAACTTCCGTCGTTAAAGTGCAGGGACGCTGTTGCTGCGGCAGGTAGGTAACTTGGAGGCCGCCCCCCTACTACACGGCCCGAGGTTAGAACCTACCTGTAAGAACTACCAAATGTAATTTGTGGTCCCTCAGTGCATCCTGATGAGGAAAAAAAAATCTTTGAAAGACTTTTGCGGACATTATGGGGATTTCATTACAGATTAGCTATTATAGAATATACTTAGTTTTGGAGATACATACTGAAGTATTAAGGAGTGAAATATATCCAATGTAACTAAAAATGTTTCAGCAAACAAGATAAATACGGCAAAATATGAAATTAGTATAGGTTTATGGCTGCTCACTTTTATTTATTATTCTGAGATTGAAGATAGAAATTTCAATAAAAGAAGGAAAAAGTAAAAAGACCTGGGTGTATCTTCTAGATACAAAACTAATAAAAGGAAGGCATTTGTCAGTTATCAGTTCTTGTGAAAAGGGAACTTATTAAAATATTTTTTTAAATGGAATCCGGTAATACAATAAGAAAATAACATCCCTACGAAGCAGAGTTTGTCTTGAAATTGAAGAAAAGTAATTTTTCAAAATTAAAGAAGCAATAAATTTTTTAAATTAAAATACATGCATATTTAAAAAAAGATTTTAAATAAGCAAGTACTTCACTCAAGTAATTCTACTTTGTGGGTGATATGCTCTTATAATTCAAAGATTTCTATTATGTATGCCCTTCACGGTTTAGTTGAGTCAATATGAATATCCAAGAACTTATGGGTAAAGTACACTTATCCACAAAGTACAATAACAGGCAGCACAGCCCTTAAATGTGATAGAAGTATATTAAATCACACAAGAGATATTCAAAATACATTTTGAATTTAAAAAACACGCCAGTAAAAAAAGAGCTATCCATAAAATGTGTGTATTCATGGAGATATGACAGTGTCTGTCAGAAGGTAAGGGCCCAAATAGACATTACTTCCAGTTAGGCAATGTAAATGTATTTATTGTGTCGGTGAGTCTGTGTCTGGAGCCTGCTTCTCCCTCTGCCTGTGTCTCTGCCTCTCTCTCTGTCTCTCATGAATAAATATATAAAATCTTAAAAGAGAGAGAGAGAGAGAGAGAGAGAAAGGCAGGTACTAACCACACATAATGGTAAATACAAATGATACATTTATTATGTAAAAACACTTGTATATCTATGCATTAATTATCCTTAATCAGTAAATAAAAACTAGGCGTGTGGTTCCCCAACCCCAAATCTGAAATCATTTATTCAGGAAGAATTCTAAGATGACCCTTTATTTTTTTTTTTAAGATTATTTATTTATTTATTCATGAGAGACAGAGAGAGAGGGGCAGAGACAGGCAGAGGGGGAAGCAGGCTCTCCATAGGGAGCCCCATGTGGGACTCAGTCACAGGACCCAGTATCACACCTGAGCCAAAAGCAGACGCTCAACTGCTGAGCCACCCAGGTGTCCTGACCCTTTATTTTTATTTATTTATTTACTCTTGTTTAAAGATTCTATTTATTTATTCATGAAAGACAGAAAGAGGCAGAGGGAGAAGCAAGTTCCCCGCAGGAAGCCAGATGCGGTCCGGGAGGAGGATCATGCCTGGAGCCAAAGGGAGACGCTTAACCACTGAGCCACCCAGGGGTCCCCCGACCTTTTATTTTTATTCTCTCTCCAAAACTGCCCATCCAGAAAACTGGTGTCTATGAAGAGGACTTGGGCTGTCTCCATTTTGACCTCAGACTTTCCAGTTGGTTTCTTCTTTCCAGCTTGTCCCTTGGCTCAGGTGGAAGACCAAGAGGGCAAGGACTCCCCCCCCCCCCAACTACGCTACCCTCTTACAGAATGAGGGATGCTTTCTGCCCTGGGGGCGGCACCTCTGTTTGACTCCCAAGGCCATGATCCATTGGACTTTCACTGCCTACCTGCAGTACCCACTGTCTTTACCTCTCCCCCCCCCCCAGTTTTGTTATTTAACCCTGAAAAACTTTAGCACTTTGGAAGAGAGCTTTGAGCTGCCAGTCCATTGTCTTCCCCGTCTTCACTGGCATACATTCCTTTCCTGTATCAGTATGACTTCTCTCTCCGCCCTTGGACCCTGTCAGCGGTGAGTGGTGGGACCAGGTGCTTCTGCACCTCCGAACGCCAGGAACCTGCGTATGGATACACAATATACATATACACAAATATATGTATATATATTTTTAGCTGTGCGGATTTTGTGCTTTAAAATTAATCTTACAAAAATTTTAATATTTTAGTCATTACTGTGAATGGAAACTCATTTATGTTGTTGGCACAAGAAAGAGTAAATTACTGTCATAAAGTTACTACTGACCACGAAATCACTACATATTCAGTATAGATTCCCTAGTGAAAAGAGTCAAAGTATTTTATACCATTAGCATAAATTGAGCAAAAACCTCAGACTGTGTACTCTTCCTTTGGGCAGTGGTACGTGTGGCACTGTCTTCTGCTTGTCTATACATATTTTCTCTTTATTGCAAGTATCATGTATCATCTGGATAATTCTGAAAGCTTGAATTCAGATGTTACAGGATATTATTCTTTGAATGTACTATTGTACCTGGTTACAAGTACTTTATCAAGTGGCAGTTTTGTTTTCAAGCCCCAGATTGCGGGGTGCCAGGTCGCAGCAGCTAGCACCTCCAGAAAGTCCCAGCAGTGCATCCAGAATGCAGGCGCTGCGGGGCCTCCTGGGAAGCAGAGCTCCAGCGTGGGACGGGGGGGGGGGGGCGGGGGGGCTCTTGCGCACGCGCAATTCCATCTCCTTCTGATAGTCGCCATCTTCCGTCTCACGCCTTAGGGCGGGAGAGGACTCTGGAGCCTCCAGGTCCGCGCGGGGCGGCAGAGGGCGGGGCCTGGGATCTGCGCCGGCGGGTAGCGGCGGCCGAGCCCATGCAGGTGTGTCCGCGCCCTCTCTGCGGGTGCGAGGTCGGGGGCGGGGAGGTGGCTGTTGGCGGCTGCGGCGAGCCGGAGACCTTGGAAGCCGCCGCCCCCCTCTGAGCGCCAGGCTGGCCACGGAGGACTGGTGGAGGGGACACGTTCTGGAGCGCGGAGCCCGGCGGCCCGGGGGCGCGGGCTGAGCGGGGAGGGCTGGGGGCGGCTCTGGGACGTGGGCCCCGGGCCCGCCACGTCGGCAGGGCCGGCGCGCTCGTCTGTAGGATAATCGCGGCAACCGCGGGGGTGGCTCGCCGTATTAGGGCCGTACACAGAAAGCAGGGTGAGGACTCAATAAAGGTGAGCTGCTTTTGTTCTTGCAAAGTTTGCTGTTCTTTTCATTATTGGCTTGTTTAATCATCACCATCATCATCCTTGAATCGGTCTCCCTCGCCTCCATCCTAATAAATAGGAATCCTAAAGGTTTACAGAGAAATTGGTGAACTCAGCCTTAGCGGAGGAGGATGGGTCAGCACTCACCCATCTCACTCTGGTTCGTGTTGTTTTCGCGCTCAAACCAGTGTCGGTATATTCACTACAGAAATTGTCCCTGATTAAAACTGTGGCGTGCAGTGCACCTAACCCGACCACTAAGTATTTATTTCCAAAATTCTAGAGGCTTCCGCGGAACTCCTGTATCAAAAGGTGAATTAAGGCCCTTCCCGCATTCTCCAACACATTTCTATTCTCAGCGGGTTTCAGGTAAACTGAAACCGCAAGTTGAGCCCTGAATTTTAAGGCTTATTGGAGAAGCTGGGAATCCTCTCCAGCCCCAAGGCTAGTTTTTAGAGAGGGGAAATGAGACCTTGTTAAAAGGCAAAAACTGGAATTTCACCCGCGCTCCAGGCTAAGAAAGTGATAGACTACCTCTGGCTGCTGAGTCTGGGTTACCAGGCATTTTGTAAGCATCATGCCAGCTGGAAGAGGGTTCTGTTATCCCAGCATTACAGCATCTAGTTACCTTGTGTCACCCAAAGTGTCTGTTCTGGGATTTATGGTGTCATATTATTATTTTAAGAAGCTAAGATCTGTGCAGCTGTCAGAAGATCAGCAGATGGCCATGTCAGAGTTCTTCAAGGCCTAATTAACTTTTACCCTAAGGGCTCGGCCCAAGGGTGGAGCCAACAGTGAATTCCAGGGTATCATCTAGATGTGTGGCACTGAGTGAACTGACAGAATCAAAATAGTACTGGAAAGTTTGTTCAAAATTATGTCATTCATTCCTCCTCACATTCAATATAGTAGCATTGAAACTAAGTCACTAGGTTTGCTAATAGCAGACGCTAGCATAAAACAGAAGTGGGGGGGGGGGATCCCTGGGTGGCGCAGCGGTTTGGCGCCTGCCTTTGGCCCAGGGTGCGATCCTGGAGGCCCGGGATCGAATCCCACGTCGGGCTCCCGGTGCATGGAGCCTGCTTCTCTCTCTGCCTCTCTCTCCCTCTCTCCCTATCATGAATAAATAAAAATAAATCTTTAAAAAAAAAAAGTCTCCAGGTCGTCCACTGTACCATGTTTAAGTCACAACAATTTTCTTAGAGAAGTGATTTTGGAGAAACTGCAATTTAGGGAGATGAAACACACTTTTGAGGGCTTTGAAGACTTTCTAACTTTGTGGAGTTTATAATATTAACAGGAAAAATTGTTATGTATCTTAAACACTTTCCTGTATTTCTTTTCAATGTTATTTGAAATACCAGGTTAGCGGTCCATAATTTGGATATATATTATACACTTTGCCCAGCCTATTATTGGATGTTTAAGGTTTTTATTCTTTTGTGTTATTAAGTGGACACAATTTTCAAAACAGCTAGCAAGAAAATGTTTAGATTCACTCAAAATTTTCTCAGATCCATCAAGATTATACCAGAGTCACCAGTGTACAGGCAGGTAACTCCTTTATCATGGTCCTTCC